GATAACATTGGATTTTGATTTTTACCGATTAATAATTGTGCTCGAATGAATAATAATTGCGTTAAGTAACATAATCAATGTGTAAATTCGGTATATTCAAGTATTAGTTTGTACGTAATGAAATATCAAATTTGATAAAGATCCAGAATAATAGATAATCAGAAATGTATTCAATCGAGATCTTCAATTGCATTCTATATACGGGTATTTTAAAAAAAAATATAAAACAATATAAAAAAATTCAATATTTACAAATTGGATCGAACACTTTGATTAGAAAAATTATCCGATAAAACAAAAAAGTACTTGTAAAACAATTAGATCAAGATATTCAAAACATTCATATAGCTATGCATTATAATGAAGAATCACAAACAAAAAGATGAAATGAGAATAAAAATCATGATACAGAGAAAGAAAAAATAATTAAAGCATAGATAATCTGTGCTTTACGTTACTGACCTGGTGTGTTGCAAGGGGAGAGAAAAATTGAGTTTCTAAAAACTCTACAAGCAGAAAAGTTTACCTTCCCCGTCCATGTGCTAGTCATGACCTTTAAACCTTTTAAAGAGAAACAAAAACATATAGAAAATTAAATCTACACACATGCTATTTGTATAATGTCAGAGACGTTTAGTTCATATTCTCTCTGACTCCTCGGACTTTGTGATCAATGTATATTGAAGAACATTTAAATCCGTTCATTAATCTCCGTAACTTTATCCCTTTTTTTTTAGTTGTGAAATGATTGCTTATTTGATTTAGTGGAAGTTACGATGAATATAGATAAATAATATTTAATGTATGAATTTATCTTTTTATATTTTTAATAAGGGAACACGTGTCACCCTCTTATAACTCACTGTACTTTTATATTTAGTTCATATTCTCTCTGACTCCTCGGACTTTGTGATCAATGTATATTGAAGAACATTTAAATCCGTTCATTAATCTCCGTAACTTTATCCCTTTTTTTTTAGTTGTGAAATGATTGCTTATTTGATTTAGTGGAAGTTACGATGAATATAGATAAATAATATTTAATGTATGAATTTATCTTTTTATATTTTTAATAAGGGAACACGTGTCACCCTCTTATAACTCACTGTACTTTTATATATATATAAGATAGCAAGTGACAGTGGGCGGTGGGGGAGAGGGGGGGCTTAAAAGGGTTTTTTTTATGGTCTGCGTTTATATGATATATAGTATGTGAAAAATGGGACCTTTATTCCAAAGCATGGGTATTAATAATGTACAAAATCCTAATGTTAAATTTGTCACCGCTTATTATTACTATGATTATTATCATTATTACTACATTTTGGTAATGAATGATGAGTTAATTACTGTTAGTGTTCCGAATCATGAAGTATGCATGCATGTCTACAAGTAGTACACGTCTTCACGATCCTATCAGCTTGTATATTTTCTCTGCTTCCGACAACTCTCTGTCGTGTCTGATTCACGATCCTATCAGCTTGTAGTCAGCCGTTACAACATTCCATTGAGCACTTTGGTTGTAATTTAAAGTCGAATAACAAGTACTAATAATAATAATAATAATAATAGTAATAATAAATGCCATAGTAGAGAAAACAGTTTATTAATGCATGTAGCACACCAATTTTTGCAGGTGACATAAGCTCTAAACCACAGACAAAAGGCTCTGAAATTCCCTGGGGGGTCTGTCCATTTTCTTAGAAATCTGGTTTAGGAGTTTTAAAACAAAGAGGGCCCGCGAGTTTAATGCGATTCAAAACTCACCCGAGTTAAGGTAGGGTATCGACTCGGTCACAATCACAAAGCCTTGGGATTATTGAACCAACATTCGGTTGGGGGTTGAGAGATGTCAGCAAGCATCAATATCCCTGCACGGAGGAGGCTTAGGCTCACCAAGAAGAGTCGTGTTTCCTCCTTCTGGTGCGCTCCTTATACGCTTCGGGTTTTGAGTTCCCGCCTTAAGAAAGAATTACCAAAAATATCAGACAGACAAATTCGATATAAGACCAGAAGCCAATTAGAAAGAGTTCCTGTCTTACCGGCGGCTTCTCTCCTCTTCTCAACTTCTCAACTATCTCCACAACTTTCTCAGGTGTAACATCTTCCTGCCAATTATCATAAGCCAGGAAAATACATTTCACTCTTTGCGTATTACTAAACACCGAAAGAACAAAAATATATATTAAGCTGAGAGATCGACGCACATAATAATTATATGTATATCCTTCTGATCCGTTAGAGTAGTCTGCTACTGTGATCATTGGTGCATTCACGCAGCATCCCTGCAACCAAAAATGATGTCTGAGATTCTATCTTTCCCACCTTATTTGGAGACAGTAGCAGAAAAAGTTCTAAACGGAACGGAGGCATGACCACAAAGCCATACCATGCATTCCATCTCCCCTACGGAGAACAAGCCATCCTTCGTAACCTCTGCAAACCAAACGCAGAACTTGTCATGTCTGAATATTGGATAGGACTTTCATTTTTTACAGAAGGCCAATGTCTTCGATGTTTGCTATAAACTCTACCATTGCGTTTCACTCCCAAATGCTTCAGCAGTGCAGCTTCAATGTCTCGTGAACCACGGATCATGCAAGGTGTTGTGCCACAAACTAGTAGGTGGTACTTTCCCACCTATGAAACGAATGAAATGAACTTGTGAGATATGTAGTATGAACAGCAAACGCGAGAATTCGGTAGATGCAAGGCCACACCGCTCACCTTTGTCCTGTTGAACATAGAGTAAAATGTCGCAACCTCGTAAACACGGATAGGAGCAACTTCTATGATTTTAGCAACCTGCAAAATTTGGTGCACGGTGCAGACTATCGATGCACACTTTACATACTTCCAACAATGCCTATACCAAAATGATTTTTCTAGAGGAACAGGCAAGTAATAAAGTTCTGACAACATGTTCTATAACAGAAAAACAAGTCACATAAAATGTCAAACTGAAAAGAACAAAACCATAAGAGAAGATCATTGAAAGCTTCAAGCTTAGAAAAAGGTAACTAACTAACACTTATTCTACAAACAAGCCAACTGAGCTTACGTTGCCTTCCGGCCAGTAAAAGAACAGGGTGAGAAAAAACATAAATCCACAGAGCTTCTTATGACATACCGCATTCATAGCTGAGACAGGGAGCCAGCCACCATGCTGCTGTTGTGCAAGATCTAGAAGAGGGATAACTGCGGATTGCTTGTAATTGGATGGATAGTGAGAGAGTATCTCTTTAACCTAACCAACATTAGAACCCTCCATCAGTCCAAGATATTTGGAATGGGAAATTCCACTTCCGATTAAAAACAATGGCAATCCACATCCCAAATCAAGTTCCAATCTGGTTTAGCCCAGTTGAAATCTTTTCGCAAGTAACACAATCGTTCCACCAAAAACCGCAAGTGTTCGTGATCATCATAACGAGCAGAGATATTCACTGACCTTTGATTTGTTTGCCTCAGAAAATTCCCATGGAAGGTCGGGTTTATTGTCCGGAGAATCAATGTGCTAAAGAAACCAGAACAACAGGAATTTTTTTTTTTTTTAAAAAGTCCATTTCCAACTTAATAAAAAAAAATAGAATGAATATCAAACGAAGAAAACAAAGATCGCTGAACATATAAATTCTCACGTAGTTTAAGGCCGTCGACAAGCTCCGAGACGCCGCCTGTACGAGAAAGGAGGGATGAGATCAGGAAGACTGTTTGGGAAGCCGGAAATCCGAGGAAAAAGAAGTAAAATTCCGGAAAGAGGGAAAAAAAAAAAAAAAAAGATAGCACCTGAGAAGAAGATTGACGGAAAGCATGACGGATCTCGAGAAGACGCTTCCCAGCAAGCCGAGCAAGCATTCTGGATACAGAGAGGAGAAGAAGAAGAAGAAGAAGAAGAAGAGTCACGAAGCTCTATCAATCTGAGGCACAGAGAATTTGGGAGAGAGAGAAGGGGAAAGGAATGCGCTCAGCGTAGGCCCAGCGCAGGATTACTTGGAAGCTCTTGGACCTGCTAACATAAGCCCGCCTCATTGTTGGGCCTACTGAAGTGAGCCCATACTCATTATATGGCCTAAACGTCAGCCCATTTTCATTACTGGGCCCTAAACTTGGTTATTTCGCTAGATCCTTAATAATGAAATTTTCTCATCATATATATATATATATATATTATGGTGTACTGATTATTTTGTAAATAATAATTGGGCATATGTTCAGGCGCTGTTGGGCCATTGACGAGTTCCATGGATAAATTGTCCGAAAATGCAAAAAAAAAAAAAAAGAAAAAAAAAAGAGATAGTGGGCCCCTATTGATAAACCTAAGACACTGTACCAAAGAGAGGCAATCCCTTCTGAAAAACAAAAGTCTTCACTCTTGAACAACTTTGTCCAAGAGAACAACGCTTTATGTCTTCAGAACTCGATCGATCTGATCATCACATCAGCATTTGTCTTCGACTTCATTATAAGCTCTGCATTGGGTCTGTCATTGTATTCTATCTGCAAGTTCCAAAAATCACAAGCGGGGGGAAAAAACCCGAGTTTTGTAACGATGATGAATCGATAATATCTTTTGGAACATCAACTTACCCGCCATTTAGCCTAAGACACTGTACCAAAGAGAGGCAATCCCTTCTGAAAAACAAAAGTCTTCACTCTTGAACAACTTTGTCCAAGAGAACAACGCTTTATGTCTTCAGAACTCGATCGATCTGATCATCACATCAGCATTTGTCTTCGACTTCATTATAAGCTCTGCATTGGGTCTGTCATTGTATTCTATCTGCAAGTTCCAAAAATCACAAGCGGGGGGAAAAAACCCGAGTTTTGTAACGATGATGAATCGATAATATCTTTTGGAACATCAACTTACCCGCCATTTAGCCACATCCGGCGGTTTCCCTGTCGTTTTCAGATGAGAAAATATAGTGAAACATGCTGTCAGTACAAAAAAAAATCAGACAGAGCTTGCATCAGACATACCGGTTGAGATGTGTCTTCTTTCCACACGTTGCATTGCTGTGTCAAGATCGACATCGATGAACCTTGGATCAAAGTGGAATGTTTTATTAGAAAGGATGAAACCAAACAAAAGGGTGTTTGATCTTTGATTCGATTGTTACCACTTCTCATCAAACATCTCTGAGATGTCCATCCAAATCCCGTCTTCCAAAAGCACGTAATTTCCTTCTACGATTACCACTTTATGCCTGAAAATGTGGAACAACTATCTTCAGGCATCTGATTTAATCCGATCGTTTCAGGAAAAACGGCATGCAAAAGCCGTTGATTCACTTACTGAAGGCTGATAAAGATGTCATCTTCAACTGGATCTCCAACTCCATGATCAAACGATGGCACGTAAACTGAGCCCTGCAAACCTTGATGGAAGCTAATCAAAATCGCGTTCGAGTCTCATATTCTATCTGCTGTTTGATTATTTAAAGGTTAATCAAGAACTTTTTATAGGCTCGGGATCTCCTCATACCTCGTTTCTCAGCTTCTTCAAACGGTTGAGCAATTGTGCGGGATCAAATGTCCAAGGAGCTGATGAATGGATGGCCATGGAAGTGTGAATCATTACAAGTTATAACCTTTGCAATCTCTCCGAATTATCATATATCCAAGAGATCTCACCTCCTCTTCTTGAATGGGCTTCCTTTGGATCCTAGAACCCAAACAAAAATCCTATTTAGAAAATCATAGAGAAAGGAAGAGAGAGAGGGAGATGTGTCTTCAACCATAAACCAAGTACTTGAAATCAAATTTTAGAAGCTCAACCTCCATTGCATCAAGCTGTGAACGATACAAATGGAACCCGTCCATGGGAAGTACGATAGCAACATCCGGTGGCGTAACCTCGGAATCAAATGAACAAGCTTTCTGGGGCCATAACTTATTTACACGGCTCACCACTTCATTAGCTAGTGTGCTCTTCCCGGCTCCTGGAGGACCAGCCAACCCAACAAGCCGCCTGCATGATTTCAATTCTAATGAATACATCCGTCCTTGTGGCAGTTCAGACCAGGGTGGTGCTTAATATATTACAAGTTCTTGCTAGAAACAAGAACGAACACATACAGAAGAATGTATTCCCTATATGGATTTCTCCAAACGGATATTTTACGTTTGTGAAAGAAAGGGAGCCGGTAAAACTATCTGAGGTCATTCTAACTGATCTGGAGATTCCTTATCTAATGAAGATTTTCTTGTTTCTGAACTAAAAATCTAAACTCTATAAGTAGTGGAGCCTAACACACAATATAACATGAAAATAATCGGTAACAGAACCTAGCATTTGCCTTGTGAAAATTGAACTTACATATCAAGCTGAACAAAAGGGCTCAAGAAAAGAGGACAAATTAAGAGTAAAAGTTTCGGAAACAGCACTTACTTCGTATCAGGACTGAACATAACTGCTGATGGAGGGAGAACACGTTCCACCAATTTATCGTATATCTCATCCATACAACTTCAAAGTAAAAACGTTACTCAAACACTTGGTAAAAAAGTAGCGGGTATTGAGAAGTGGATCAAATGCAATGCATGAAAAACTCGAAGAAATTAGAATTAACTGATGAGATACTCAATCCAGGGCTTGAGGTAAAACCAGAACTCAAGGTGCTAACAGCTTAAGGACGACAGAAAAAATGCATCTTCTAGTTAATTTTGATGACAGGAAGGAATATTATTACACAGTTCGTCATCATCTTCATTGACATTTATCATTTCCCGGGATAGATCTACAACGAAAACCATGCAATTTGTTACATAGTTCATCATCTTCGTAGACATAAACTCATTTTCCAGGATGCGTCTACAATGAAAACCACTCCAACATACAAACATTGATGACTGTCCACAATCTTTGGAGCTGTGAATTACACAAACTGATCTATGGATTCGACAAAAAGAAAGTTCAATTATACCTCCCATCCACAACATCAACATCTCTCTTCTGACTACAGGATAATACCTGCTTGTGAAAACAAGAACTAGATCGTTTCAGATTGTTACAGAAATTTATGCAAAACCCAAAAATCTAAGTTGAAGATGATATCTTTATATCAACGTAATAAACCCAGACTAGAGAATCCACCAAATCACGAGAGGTTACTGTTCTTCGTCGAATGATCGATGAAAAAGCGACAAGAGATTGGCCCAAAAATTGAACTTTAACCCTCGTGACAGGACGCAATTCTGCACATTAATCGGCCAACATTCATCCAAATCAAGTCTTTCTCTAAGAATTGAGACAAACCCAGATCAATAGCTGAACGAAGAATCGCGATCGTAAAAGGTCCGAATCGAAATTTCTGAAACGATTAGTCAGTAATGCAGAGAGAGCAGAGAAACCTGGAACAGAGGAGCTTGGATAGCGAAATCTCGGCGTTGAGAAAGACGAAACCTCCATTGATGAATACAAGCAGGCAAAACTCAGCGGTAATTATGGAGATTTTGTCCGCTCACAAGAGAAGAAATTTGTCGGAGTATGAGAACATGCGATAGAACCAACGGCCGAACCTCTCGAAGCCCAAATTTTTGCACTTTGACGCGGATTTCTGTTTTCGATGTTACTTAGATCTTTAATTATCATAGTTATTATTGATTTTATTATCATTTTCCTTTAATTGTGTTTTTATATTAGATTAAATTTGGTTTATTTTCATTAAAATTATTTATTTAAAAATTATGTTGGACATATTCTATATTTTTAATATTTTCTCTTTATCTGATTTAAAAAATATTATCTATAATCAATTTTAAAATTTAATTTGATTTAAATATGATTAAATATAATTTTATTTTTGTATATATCAATAAAAGAATCCACACCTAATAATTAATTCTAAATATATATATTCAGGATTCTATAACATTGAACTTTTTTTTGTCTTGAATATATCTATAACTTCTTTTATGGTACAAATAATAACAAAAAAATTTTAATATTTACTTAAAAAAATGAAAGCCTCAACCAAACAAATAGTATGTTTTGTCGCGTAATTTGGTCGGATTGAAATATGCAGATGGTAATGGTATCGTAAACAATAGGGGTGGTCATTTCGGTTATTAACCGAATAACCGATCCGATCCGAACCGAATAAGATATAACTGTACCCGAACTGAACCCGACATCAAAACCGAACTGTTATGATTTGTTTAAATCCGAAAAATCAAAACCGAACCGAACCGAACCGAATAAAAAAATAACCGAAAAAACCGACGATTTCTTTGAAAAAATGAGTTTTTTTTTACCGAAACCGAACCGAAAAATAACCGAACCGAATGGTTATAGTTTTTCTATAACCGAAATAACCGAATCCGAATATAACCAAACCGAAACCCCAAATGTCCACCCTAGTAAACAATATGGATATATTTTACACAACTTAACATACTCTAAACCGAACCAGACCGGTTATAACCGGCCTCTATAATACAATCCAATGGCACTCTAATACTTCACACGTCGAACCAACAATATTTCAATATCAACCTATATATGATTAAATTCGAATTATTCTCGTGCTTTCATTTTCCAGAAGAAACAGACAGCAAACAGCAAAAGATCACATGAAAACACATGGGGAGAATATTGCAGATCGATGAAGAAGAAGAAGAAGAAGAGCACCGAGCACGTGTGAATTGTTACATGCATATATTATTCCATGGTTGCATACGCTATAACGACTTTGCGTAAATGCATGTGTGTTTACGAAATTATCGACAGACAACATCGTCATGTAGAGCGACCCTCGATTTCATAAAACGACCCTTCGTGTTTGGTTGGAGCCACTTTTGCTGTTCAACACAAATACATATATACGTATATACATATATATATATATATATATGTATATGTATACGCACGAAGGAATAAAAGTTACTTTTTTTTTTCATGCAAGTGTATATGTCTGCATGTGTATATGATCATCAACGACGTACGTGTTCCCTTGATGTGCAAGAGATACGTGGCCCGTCATTGTTCTTTGGAATATCATACGCTTATTATTAGCTTTTATCTTCGCATATATATATACGCATATTATATTTTGCATCATATATACATGTATGAAAGATAAAGAAAATGAGAAATATTTGAAAATGCAAGTTGGGTCTGTCTTCTTCACGAGGAATATGTTCTTAGAGCAAATTAAACGATCTCTTTCATTAGCTATAGAGATCTTTCTTCCCCTTTTCCGGATCTTGTAGGAACATCTTATGAACCAAGCCCGTTTCTCCATATGAATTCATCGATCGATGATCATATATATGCATGTAAATAGATATATGATCATGTTAATCGATGCTCTATATATGCACCAAAGCCTTTTTGTGGGCAGAGTTCATGAATGCATAGAATCGTATTAACGAGACATTAAATAATATTCCAGACAATGTTGATTAACGAAACCGCTCGAGATCGTGTCTCGTCTTTTTTCTTTTGGGTTGCTTGGAGAATATCTGGAGGCATTTTTCTCTCATCTGCAGAATAATCTGAACGTACAAAAGAGCATATCTTCCCTGGCGTTCTTCATCTCGTACGGCTCAAGCGACGATGCATTTCGTGGCCTTCAATGATTTGGTTAAAATTTAATCGAATCGAAAACGAGAAAGAATCTTTTTATCGGAATACAACACAGCTCTTCTTCAAAGTTCTGCAACCTTCCCATTTCCGTCTCGTCGTCTATAAATACCATATGTCAACCACCTTATTATACACTCAGAACCCAAAGCCAAATTAAGCCACGTGATTCACACATACATATACATACAAGAGGAGAAGATGATGGAGAAGATAATATCGGAAATGTTGGTGGAGAAGCCGGTGGTGATATTCAGCA